GTGACAGCTGTGAGTGAAAAACCCAGTCAAGGGGAAATGAATTTCCACGTTGTTTGGAGGGATATTCGTTATATAAGTGAACAATTTCCTGATCATGAGGGCCGTTAAACATTGTGTGGGATTGTGAAACTGTCTTCCTTGGAAATTGCTGTTAGTGTGGGCTGGTTTTAGCATTTTCCTATTAAAAGGAAGAAGACAAGAGTAATCATTTTCAAGATAGGCAGGATAGTGTAATAGGCAGTGAGTTTGGGCTCTGGAGTCAGATGAATCTGGGTTTGGATTTTGCCTCTGCACTCTAGCTGGATGGCCTTGGGAAAGTCACTTCAATTCTCTACAATCCAGTTTCCTCATCTATACAATGTGGATGAGAGCTGCCTCTCAGTGTGGTCATGGCATACAGTGGGTACTAACAAATGGGTAATAAATAAGTAGACTGGCGACCTAAAGGTAGGGTCAAAGCCACACCAAAATGTGTGTCTTTAGGGAACGGGGGCAGACAACAGTTATTTTCTGCCACAGATCTGAATCCATGTTATCAAGGGAATGGTCTTTCCCAGGCCAAAACTTCTCAAGATTCTTCCCAAAGTTCAAATATCTTGAAGACTTTGGATGGGTTTCCACTCATAAAATGTGGGAAGCCAGGGGAAAGGCAGACCTGAGAAATTAGAGAGGGAAGGGATAATGGTGGCTCTCATCCAGATCTGTGACCATGTGGATTGGAACAGAACCATGATTAACCAGGTCTCACTGCTAGAGAAAAGGTCAGTCCAAGGTAACTACACACTGCGGTTAACATCCCAAATTTAGGGACAATTGGAGAGATTTCAACAGCTACTTCATCCTAATTCATTAAGCAGGTTTAGCATAGCCCCTCTTGTTGGCATTTCCCAGCCCTTGGTTGATTCTGTTCCTTATGCTTCACACTAGATAATCCACTCTCTCAAACCCTCTTGGGTATTTCTGTATTCACTCTCCACCCAGTCTTGTGACTTTGCTTACTCTTCCCTATACCTGTAAAACCCTCCCCACACATCTTCAGCTTTCCAATCCTTCCAGGTTTCCAGGGTCTATCTGGAAGACCAGACCTTCTGCAACACTTTCCTGAGCCTCTGTCTAAAGTCATCTTGCCTGCCTGAGGGCACAATGGACAGATATATGGAAGGTGTTTGGTATGTTGAAAGCACCCAAAACATTTGCACGGTTTTATCTAAAATTGGGTTGCGACTTTCTGGTGAATCACATCAAAACTTTGGGCTTAGGGTTGGGGGCAAGAAACAAAAAAAATTTCTTCTGGAAGATTTTATTTTCTATTAGAAAACAAATGCCATTTATGTATCTTTGGTAACTAAAGCTTTCACATACATAAGACTAAATCAGCTCTTCTTTCAATTATCTAATTTGTTATCCAAACATGTTCTCTAAGTTTTGATTCAGAAAGTATAGTTCCTTAATGCCCCCTTTGCCTAATTGAAGTCATGAGTTACAGATGTCCATTTCACAAAGCGTAAGTCATTCTTTGAAGGAAATTACACTTGACTTAGCCTGAGCTCACACCTGGCATTCCTCAGTAGACCCCTGTGCTTCACTCTTAATACAGTAGTATAGAAAAGGGTTTGAATTCATATACAGAATTCTGAAAGACATTCTATATGGAGACTGCCTCTGGGAATGAAGAGCTTGTAATTAAGCCTCTGCCCCTGAATTGTTAGCCCAGATAATTTGCAATCAGTAAACCTGGGCAAGCAAATTCTCCTGTTCCCTGGGGCCACAAGGTACCTGGTCTAACCCTCTACCAGGTGCCCATTAGTTCATCCAACAAGCACGCATCGACCTCCTAGTGCCCAGAACTTGTTTCCTAGAGACTTGTTCTGTTCTTTGCTTGAGAATAGCTCCTTTCTTCTCTTGATACAAACTATCACCACTCTCGGAAAAAGTGAACAGATGCCTCCTCAGAATGTTTTTTTCTCCTTTTAGTTCTCATTCTCAAGATCTGGTCTCTACAGACATCTCCTGGTTATGTTTTATAGTTCTCAGTATTTAAAAACTGCATGCCAGGGAGCCTCTAAAAAGATTCAGAATGTTTGTAGTAAAGAATACCCACATTCCTGTTCTCCTTTGGTAGCCTTTCTACCTACCCATACCAAAGATCAGCTAAAGAGAAACACTAGGCCACTGCAGCTCGTGCTGATCGCCCCTTCTAACCTATAGCACTTAATATCTCAGTCTTTCATTTTCCAAGTTGAATGTCCAGGATTTTCATCTACCTCACTCATACTGCATTTATCCAACCCCTTCTATGAACAAGGTACTGTTTTAGGACCCTGAGGGAGATGAAGATATGAACAAAACACAGTTCCCATCATTAACTAATTACCTCCTAGATCCCGGGTACTATGATAAGCTCTAAGATACAGTGGTTGCCAAAAACAGGCATGGCCCTTCCCCTCATGGAACTTACTAGTGAGGGAGGCAGACAGGGAGCATGTATGTTGTATTTACTACTGTGTATCACAAGGCACATAGTCGGTACCCAATATTTATTGAGTGAAAGCAAATGACCAAATATATCATGATAAATTGTGAGGTGCTATGAATTGAGGAAAACAGGAAACAGTGATAGCATAATAGGGAAGATAGAGACAAAAGGCTGCCAGAGAATGCCTGTCTGAGGAAGTGACACACCAAGACCTGAAGGATGGGGACTAGCCAGCTATATGCTAATACTGGAGATGGGAGCATTCTAGTGGAGGGAGCAGTATGGGTAAAGTATGTTTGGGGAGAGGGAATAGCAGGGTAAAGTCTCTGAGGTAAGAGCTCAGCATGTGTCCATAGGAAGACTACAGTGAGCCAGGGGGAAAGTGGTATATGAAGAGGGGTCACAAGAGACAAAGTACAAGTAGGCAGGGGCCTTGCAGGATACTGTAAGTAGTTTGGATTTTATTCTAAGTGTCTGTGAGAAGTCATTTAAGGGCTTCAAGCAGGGGATCACGTGATCTAATTTATTACTTAAAAAAAAAATCACTGTCTATAGACAACTAAAGAAACAAGAGTAGAAGGACTCCAGCTAGGAGTTATAATAACCCATGGGAGATCATGGCAGTTTGGACTAAGACAGCTATAGCAAAAGTGAGGAGAGTCAAGACACACTTTGGAGGTAGAACTGACAGACTTGTTGACAGGCTGGATGTAGGGAGTAAGAGAAGAGGAAAATTAGGGATAACTTCCAGGTTTCTAGCTTAAGCAACTGGATGGGTGGAGGTGCCATTTTCTAAGATGAGGAAAACTGGGAGAAAGAGAACAGCCCCAGGGTGTATCACTGCTTATTTTTAATGAGGCAATGTTAAGTGTACATGTCAAGTAGGCAGCTGAATATTTGAATCTAAAGCTTTCTAATAGGGAAGACAGGACACGGATGTTTGTGATACAAGCCTTGAAAAGTTAAATGTTCACAGAGAAATTTTTTGTCTAGCTGGGTTAATCAGAAAAGTTTGCAGGAAAAAGTTGGCATTTGAGCCAAAGGAAAGATGATGAGGGAAAGCATTCCAGGTAAAGGGAATGAAATTGCAAAGGTGGAGACGGGAGAAATCTTAAAGCATGCTCAGAAATTGGAAAATTGTTCAGTTTAGACGGAATGTGGCTTGTATCTGGAATGTTACTAGATGACTCTAGAAAGGGTGACTGAAGCCAGATCACAAAGGGCTTTGAGCACCATCCTAGGGAATCTGTACTATACAAGGTGGGCAACTGGGAACGCACTAGCAAGTCTTTGAGCAGAGGCATGACCTGAAAAAGTTGTTAAAAAACAAAATTTGGTGACACTGAGTAGGGTGGATTGAGGAGGGAGAACAGGAGGCAAGGGAGGCCATCTAAGAATTTATTTAGATAATCAAGGCATGAGGTAATAAGTTATTTAGGTAATAACCTAAATGTTGATCATGGCAATGGAAAGTTAAACGCAAATGTGGGAAACATTTTAAAGGGGAATTATGATTATGTTAACCTAACAGGAAAGCCAGGAGGAGGCACCTGCTTTTTTCTTCTCAGTATCTTTTGCCTCCACACTAGATCATAACCTCTGGTAAGGCTGGGAGTTATTTTTCAATCTTTCCACAGTGGGATTTAACACTATCAATGAGATCTCATGCTAGTATGGCTTTGTAGTAAATAGGAAACAAAGAGGTAGCTTTAGTATTGAAGTGAATGGACTCACACAGATAGTGGTGCTGGAAAAAGCATTGTGGGGTCAGGACCACAAACCAGGGAATGGGCTGAGAGTAAGCACTAGGAAAGAAGAGTTCAAATTTCCTACCTTCTTCCCTTTAAAGCCTCATTGCCTGCCCTCCTTCCTACTCCGTCCCTTCATTCAGCCAACACTCACTCACATAGGCAGAACCTTCAATGCTCTGAATTTTTTCCTCCAGCAGACTCCCATTCATCTGTGTGAAATCCCACCCGCTCACAGCCCCCATCTGATGAATAAGTCTCACTGAGAGAATGTCAGAATGTGCTACTCTTCCCTCAGTACTATTTACATTTAGACAACTGTGGCCTTGACTATCATAATCCAAATGTCTAACATGAAAATTAATCACATGGCAAGCAAGAGCTGGGGTGAGGTGGAAGGTAAGGGGGCAGGGGATATCTTTCAGTACTCATTCTAATGATGAAGCCTGGATCCGGCCTCCCCTCATTCCCTGCAGTCTCACTGGGATATCTACTATGAATCCCCTTTCAAAGGAGGTAAAATTAATTTGGAAAAGTGTTCTGAAGTAACTCTGTGGGGGAGAAACAGAATGAATATCCAAGACATTTCCTCTGGACTAGCTAATCCTTTTGCCACTGCTTGATCTCACCTTCCTTTGATTGTTTCTCCTCTACTTCCTACTTTTTACTGTTGGTATATTTTTATGTGTTCATTGTTCAATGTCTTTTGAAAAGTATCCTGAACTCTTTGGAGAGTATGTGCTATGTAAACACAATAAAGAAATGAATACAATGTCTCCTTTTACAAGAGAATAAGTTTTACTATTTCTGATAGTATGAGGTTTACCCCTCACTCAGCACTAGCCTGAAGAGTGAGTAGGTATATTCTGGGGGACACCAGATAGATTCCACTCTAAAATACTTCCCTAACAACCCGAAATCCCATTAATTTGATGATAAATATATTTTTTAATTTGAGCCTTATAGGTTTGTTTTTCAAGAATCCCTTATTAAAATGCAAATACCAAAGCAGGTGAACAGATCATGATGTAACCTTAGTTCCCTTTACATTAACCCACCACTTCTATCAAACACATTTTTCACATTCCAAATTTTTCCACGCCTTTGTTTATGCTTTTCTTCTTCCAGAGGTAATGCTAAATTTAATATAAATTAGAAATATAACATTACCTTATATTTTCACATAATCTCTCATTTGATATTCAAATCCAAGCCTACTTGATCTTTTTAAAAACAATTTATTTTTTCCAATGTAAGAATAACAAGTTTAATACTGAAAATCTGAAAAAGGCAGGAAGATAGGAAGAAGAAAACTATCAACCATAGTCCTACCACCTAAAGAACACTCATTGACAGTGTGGCCATGCTCATTCTTTAAGCCTTAATTTAGGTCCCATTTCTGGTGTGGTGCCTTCCTTGAACTTCCTCCCCCAGATCTTCCATGTCATATCTGTACCACTCAGTTGTACATATCATACACTTTTGTGTATAATGTGATGTATGTCTTATGTTTCCAACGAGATTGTTACATCTTCGAAGGCTGCAAACATGAGTTATACTTATTAGCTTACCCCCAAAACACCTGGTATACCGGACCCAATATCTGCTGATTGATTTAACCTAAGTGAATACAAAACATTTCAGAAAAAGATATAAAATAGACCACATATCCAGGTCATGAAAATTAAAGCTTTCAGGTCACCTAGCTTGGTGACTATTGCTTTTCTATTCCTAGACTCTTTAAAGTCTATTTAAACCGGCCTCTTTCTCCACACTAAAACTGATAAGAAGGAGACTGATTATGAGCCAGGATTTACACAGAGATTCTCTATATAAGGCATAAAGGTGAGGGTGAGAGAGAGAGAGAGAGAGAAAGACAGACACAGATGTGGGGGAGTGAGAGAAAAGAGAAGAGACAGAAGAGAAGGGTATACAGTCTGGTGCTCAATCCAGTATGTGATTTGCCTCCAGCACCGTGTACAGGATCCCATCCACTTGTTCTGAGTCATACCCGATCTCACGAAGCTCCAAGTGAGGGAGGACAGAAGTAAGGAGATAGCTGACGTGGATACGTAGCCGCGTAAGCTTTGCCAAAGCCCTGTATGAAGGAGTGAGGGGGCAGGAGAAGAGATGATATGGAGTCATTAGCCAACAGAATAAAATGAAGCCCCTTCAAAATGGAACCACATTTCTCAACAGTTATGTTTTCATTAGCTAGAAAGAAGAAAGCACAACACCACCAAGCATAGGGAGACTGGCTGCAGCTTTCTAAGAAGTAATTACTCAATTCTTGGTGGCCTGTGAATTAAGGCTTCCTCCTTTGTCTATGGCCAATAACAGGGGGTCCTGAGGGATGCTTCCCATTAGCACTCACAAGCTGATAACTAAACCCTAGTAATTAACCTTTCTAGGTCATCTCCCTCTGGGGTCCGGTAGGAGACCTGAGCCTTCTGCAGCATTTCCAGGTGTGTCTCTGCTTCCTTCAATTTCTCTTTTAACTCTTCCTTTTCCTCTTTGGTTCTTTCCAGCTCAGCTTTCAGAATCTGGAATTCAGCTTGGCGATAACCCATGTGTTTCTTGCTCCAGTACAAGCCTTCCGCCTCCTGGGTACTGTAGATCACCAATTCATGTTGGACTTTCTTGAATTCAGACTGCCAGTGATTCCTCTCCTGTTCCAGCTCCTCCACCTGCAGTCCAAGAAACAGAAATTCAATGACCCCACAAAAAAACATGCCCAAAACCATTCCTCATATGGTCATCCTGTGATTCCACTATACATATTCCTCTACTTAGGGACCTTTTCAATACCCTAAAATGTGCAGGAAGCCTACTACAGTTACTCTATCTGAAACACCACAGAATAGTTCAAGGGCGTATTTTGTTTAAAGGCCTCAGAACATTAAATAATCAGGGCACCAACATCCCGGTCTCTTGGTTACAATGGTCTCTTATTCCTAGTGGTGAGGTATTACCCTAACCTTTTGCTGGAACAAATTCCTTTCAGCCAAAACACGTTCCAATTTTTCTGTGGTTCTCTTCAATTCTTCCAGCTCTCTCTGGTTCTTCATCTTTGGTGTATTACGACCTTCATTCTCCTCATAGCCTCTTCCTTTCTCCCCAATGGCTGCAGCAGGGATTGCAGCAGAGGCCACAGAATAAGGCACTGGGTTCCAGGATTCAACTGCTTTTCGTCTCTCAGCAAGCTCCTCTCTGTTAAAAGGGATCAGCTGAATGGGAGCTCCTGAATCTCTAACACCTTTGGCAACACCAACAACAGCTACAAAAGGTCCCTTGTTCACTTCCTCTTTGTTTATGCTTGTGCTACTTCTGTTAGATTCTTCTGCCACCAATCTTGGCATCTGATCTTCTAATTCTTCAGGAAGCAGGGACCCCTGGCGTTGGTCTTTGGTCCCAGGATACAGAATTGAAACCTCCCTATTCTGACCTGTATTCTTGCTTGCTTCTGGATATTCTGGGAAAAGGTATGGTGGTGTACTTCTCTCAGAACTCGATTTATCATGGCTGTTCTCCCCTTCTGGGTAGGCAACAGGTGCCTCTACCCTCCTGTAAGGAGCAGGCATGGAATAATCTAGAGAAGGTGTTGTCATCTCATTCTGGAGCCTTCTTCGTTTCTCTACTGGTTCTTCACCTAGGATCCATTTGTACTTACTGCAAGGAGAGGAAATTAAATTGTAAGCTGTCACAGTACAAGTTAAGTATTTTCTGATCCTATGGAACCCCAACTCAAACTTCCCATATTCAGACCGGCTCTAGATGTTACCCACAGACAAGTTCAGGTTAGGGATACAACTTTACTCACAAGCCTCAACCCTTTCACCAGTGCAATTGGTATTAAGGGAGAGGTGAAGTTGAAAGATGTGAATGGGCATCATCTGGGTATAATAGGACTAGGTTGACCTTGGTAAGAATTCTAAAAATAAGATTGCGACCAGCCTGACTTAGAAGTATCCTGAAGATATAAGTCTAGAAGGAAGACAAAAAACACATACCCCAAATCCCCTAACACAAGAATGGAATAAAAAGGCCATAAAAAGCCTAGAGGAGTATGCAGAGAACAGTGCCAACTCATTAATTTTACAGCGTCACAAATGCCTTCCAGTATCAAATACTTATGTACATTTTTTTTTATATTGCAGCAGAACCACACAATTCTTTCACCAGCCCACTGGATTGTGGCTAATGCCCCCAGTTCACTTGTAAAAGTTAATTGAATCACAGGGGCCTATTCAGAAACAAAGAAAGTGAATCAGCCAATTCAAGTCATTTCCCCCTTGTAACAAAGAATTCCCGTGCTCAAGCACAAGCAGACACTCCCTGAGTTCTGCAGGAAAGCCCATGATGATGGCCTTAAGTCACCTTCCATTTCTGGCTGCTGTATGCACTAGGGGTTGAAGAACTAATGAAACAACTGGCACCAGAGAAATCCATTGGCAATTTTTAATCGTGCAGCAGGGTGGGAACCCCATTTTTATCCTTACAACTATTCTGCCCTCTCTCTGGATAACCAAGACATTTCAAGATAAAATCAACTTTCAAATTTTCAATGAGAAAGCATCAGACATATGATTTGCCACCTCATACTACCTCAAGGCTGCCCATATTTCTCTGTATTTTCTGAGAACACCTGTAAGACAAACCAAACTGTAGCTTCTTATAATGCCCATATGTTCTTCAGAAATACAACTGATCTGCCATCTTTACAGATCTTGTCGTGTTAGCCTTAGGTAAAAGCAAAAGGACTTAGGACCTATGTAAGAACAACTGTATCCATCTTTGAAGATGTATAAGGACCACTAGTGATGGCCCATTCAGCTGTGTTACTGAAGAAGACAGCAAACAATTGGTTGGCAGGTCTAAAGGAAAAGTATATAATACTAAATAGCAACAACCAAGCCTTGTGAAAAGCAATTACAGTCATATTATTTGCCTTCTCTTCGTTTTCCCACCTCTAAGGGTTCTGTCCTTAACTATCTTCTCTTCTGACCCTGTGTTTCTTCTCTTTCATAATCTTATACAACCTCTTGGCTATAACCTCTGGACAACAACTCCCATATTCTCCCAAACCCTGACCCCCAGTACTGAATTTCCAACTGCCTGTCACATATTTCTTCCTGGAGTCCCACTGATATCTCAAACTCAGTATGTATAAAACCAACCTTTCATTTTCACCTTCAAACCTGCTCCTTTTCCCTATGTTTCCTATTTGTGTTACAACAGCACCAAACTGTCAGTAATATTTATACAGTAGTTTTATATATTATCAATACTCAAGTTCAAGCTCCCTCTACCTTTCCTGGACTACTGCAATGGCTTCCTCCTATCTCCAGTCTCCCCTTCTCTTACCTCCAGATCACTGTCCCAAGCTAATCTTCCTAAAGCATTGCTCTGATCATGCTACTCCTCTATTCAAAATCTTTATTTATTGCTCCCCACAACATAAAAGCTTAAATGTCTTAGCTCAGTATTGAAGCTTTTCCATGCCCAAACATAGTAAACATTGACTGAGCACTTACTCTGTACCAGATCATGTAAGAAGTGCTTAACATGTATTGCCTCATCTAATTCTTCCAATAAACATAGGGATTATTATCTCCATTGTTTTAAGGGGATGCTCAGGAAGAAGTAAAGTAACTTTCCCAAGGTGGCTAGTAAGTATCAGAGCTGGGACATAATTTGGCCCTAGTTTTATCTCTCATTACTCCCTTCACAAACATCAGTCAAACTGGATGCCCTGTAATTCCTCATGCTGCTCCTTTTGACTGGAGTGCCCTTCTTCTACCCAACACTGAATGTGTAAATCCATCTCAAATGCTACTTCCGAATTCCTATAGCACTTCAAACACTCTTATTAATATGCATCACTTACTACTGTGTGTGTGTGTGTGTGTGTGTGTCTCCTAGGTACCTTACAAAAGTATACGTTCCTACACAGAAGGGAGCTTAATTAACCATGCTAGATGGGGAGGAGGGAACAAAACTTTCACATAAGAGGCAACCAAAAAAAGAACTATTATGTGAATGAGGGAAAACAACTAGATTTTACTTATTGGTGCTATACTTCTCCAGAAAGTCTGGCAAGTCCTTTTAGGAATCAATTGTCATACCAGACTTGTATTCACTCATTGAGTAGAGATTAATTATGGGTTTTATATACTAGAAATTCTCCAACTACACAGTTCCCTCTTATTTCCTTTCTGCTCTTTGTCATATTCCTCCATTGTCTGTCAATTTATGGTGCATTTTTGGTTTTCTCCTTTAAGTATTTTACATTTCCTGACATACACCATGTTTCTGCTCCTTCAAAATGCTTTCTGAGAGGCTTCTATAATTAACCACTATCAGTTTTTGTATTCTTTCATTAACCAAGACAGAGAATGATATATTCAAATTAATATATTTCATTTTTTACTCACTCATTTCATAAATGTTTCCTACTATGCTGAAGGAATAGGCAAGAATAAGGACCAAAAATCACAGCCCGTAATAGTGTATATATACTCCTTCCAGATGATGTATTTTTCAACATCTTTACTGGCACAGAAATATATAAATTCATTTAAGGTGTACAATTCAACAATTTTAGTATTCTCACAGAGTTGTGTAACCATCACCACAACCTAAGTTGTGAAAATATGCACCACCCCGCAAGAAACCTCCTACACATCAGCAGTTACTCCCCATACCCCCACTGGGCCACTACTCTACTTTCTGTCTCTGTAGATTTGCCTATTCTAGGCATTTAATATAAATGGAATAATACAACATATGGTCTTTTTAAAACTTGCTTCTTTCACTTAAATGGAATAAAACATATGGTCTTTTTTAACTTGCTTCTTTCATTTAACATAATGTTTTCAAGTTTCATCCATGTTGCAGCACATAATCAGTATTTCATTCCTTTTCCTAGCTAAATAATAGTCCATTGTATGAATAGGCCACATTTTATATCCATTCATCACTTGATGGTTATTTAAATTGCATCCACTTTTTGGCTACCATGAATGATGCTGCTATTAAAACATTAATATACAAGTTTTTGTAAAGATACATGTTTTCAGTTTTCTTGGGTAAAAACTTAAGGGTGGCATTACTGAGTCATACAGCATTTTGTTTAACATTTTGTGAAACTACTGGAGTGTCTTCCAAAGCAGCTGCAACATTTTGCATTTATAACAGCAAGTGATCCTCCCACCTCAGCCTTCCAAGTAGCTGGAAGTACAGACATACACGCCCAGCTAATTTTTGTATTTTCTGTAGAGACATGGTCTTCCTATGTTGCCCAGGCTGCTCTTGAGCTGCTAGGCTCAAATGATTCTCCCACCTCGGCCTCACAAAGTGCTGGGATTACAGGCATGAGCCACCATGCCCAGTCTCTTTCTTCAACTGCAATGTAAGCATCTAAAAATATAATTTTCCCTCTGAGTATTTCTTTAGCTTCAACCCATACTTTTCATATATTTTGTTTTAATTTTCATCTTTCCAATATATTTTTACATTTCCAATGTGATTTTTTTCTTTTACCCATTTGTCATTTTGGAAATTAAGACATGTGTCATTTAATTTCCATATATTTGTGCATTTTCCAAATTTCCTTAGGTTGTTGATTTCTAATTTAATTATATTGTAATTGGAGAACATCCCCTGTTTGTATGATTATCAATCCTTTTAAAAGGTTCACTGAGGTTTGTTTTACAACCTAACATACAGTCTGTCTATCCTGGAGAATATTTCATGTGCATTTGAGAAGAATACATACTATGTTGTTGTTGGGTGAAGTTTTCTGTATATATGTCAGGTCTGGTTGGTTCAGAATGTTCTTCAAGTCTTCTATTTTCTTGTTGATCTTCTTCCCAGTTGTTGTATCCATTATTGAAAGTAGGGCATTAAAGTCTCCAACTATTATTGTTAAATTGTCTATTTCTCTCTACATTTTTGCTTTGTGTATTTCTGGGGCTGTGTAGTTAGGTCCATATGTGAGTGTAGTTACTACATCTTCCTGATGGACTTTATCGTCAATGAAATGTCCCTCTTTATACCCACTAACCTTTTTTATTCAAAAGTCTATTTTGTCTGATATTAGTATAACCAGGTTTGCATGTTGAATCTTTTCTATCCTTTTACTTTCAACCTATCTGTATCTTTGCATCTAAAGTGTGTTTCCTGTAAATAGTATATTTGCATTTTAAAAAATATATAATCTGAGGCTGGGTGTGGTGGCTCATGTCTGTAATCCCAGGACTTTGGGAGGCCGAGGCAGGCGGATCACAGGGTCAGGAGATCGAGACCACAGTGAAACCCCGTCTCTACTAAAAATACAAAAAATTAGCCAGGCATGGTGGCAGGCGCCTGTAGTCCCAGCTACTCAGGAGGCTGAGGCAGAAGAATGGTGTGAACCTGGGAGGCAGAGCTTGCAGTGAGCCGAGATCATGCCACTGCACTCCAGCCTGGGTGACAGAGCAAGACTCTGTCTCAAAAAAATAAATAAATATATATATATACACACACACACACACACACACATATAATCTGATATCTGTCTTTTGATTGGATTGCTTAATCCAGTCACATTTTATGTTACTGATAAGGCAGAATTTACATCTGCTATTTAGTTTTTAAATTTTCTACAGGTGTCATGCCTTCTTTGTTCC